TCCATGACTCTTGTGTGCCTGGCAGGATCTGAGAGGCACAGGTGGTGATATGACCAGGGGATCCCATGGTCATGGCCCATGCTTCATCCCCTTCCCCATGAGGTGTGTCCCCCAGGCAGATAATGTACTGAAATTCTGAGCCAGTGGATCAGGAATTCTAATAGGGACGCTGGCTGAGGGTCTGAGAGCAGAAAGGAAAACCACACCACATCGAATAGGTGCCTATCCCTGTGAGGATGAACTTCTGCCCCTTCCAGGATGGATGGGGTTCAAGCTATTCAACTTGTCACTTAGGGGCTAGTCAGTTACCTGAAGAAATAGTGCCCTATCGGTGCCCATCATTGGTCTGTAATGCTCACAAGCAGAGTATTCAGTGGAAGCAGTAGCTGGATTGGTATTAGTAGGGGGCAGTCAGTGCTGCTGGACTCATTTGTAGCTTCATCCCTACCACTGTGGTTGCTCCACTCATGGGTCCTTCCTATCAGGCCTGGGCTGATCCATGATGTGGACTGGCTAACTTCAATTTATCTTCAATTTATTTGGCGATTCAGGGCCACGTCAGGACTGGGTGTTTTCTGTGGGTGTTAACATGGAATTGAGGCTCAACCCACATGGAACGTTTTCATCTCATGATAGATGCCGCTGGGCCTATCCAGTCTGTGACTCTGTGGGTCACATAGAAGCCAATAAGTTTGGGCACTTGGAATCATATTGTTGCTTGGTGTCCCATGATCAAGGGTTCTCTTATTAGGGCCAGTAAAATGAAAAACGTTGCCTCTAACAGGCAGCATATTTTTCTGTTGTGGATTCCATGGCCTTACTCCAGATCCCAGGCCCTACATTCTGACTCCCACTGATGCTTGGTTCAGCTCCATCCTGCATCTTTCCCCAAACTGCCACTTCCAGCACCATGGGTCTGAGGTATGGTGACTGGCTGCACCACAGCTTGGGTCTGCAGCAGTGTCCTTTCCTGTCCAGGCCCCACTCAAAGCTGGCTTCCTTCTATATCACCCAGAGTGTGGGCCAAAGCAATATACTTAGATGTGGAATGTGGCATTGCCAGAACCCAGAGAGGCTTACCAGGCAGTGTGCTGCATCCTTCCTTCTAGTGAGGATGCAAGATGCAAGTGTGTCTTTTACTTTGGAGGGGAGAGCCCTGCATGCCTGTAACTACTGGACACATAATACTTCACTGCAGTGGCCACTCTTGAAGCTCTGTGAGGTTTATCTTCACCTTCTGTAGTGCATGTGTTTTGCCAAGGAATTCAGCATACTTTCCTCCTCTTGCTCATCCATCCCAATTTATGTGATACTGTCAATGAAATGAGCAGATGTAGTATTCTGTGAGATATTTGATTTGTCCAGGTCTCTCAAGGCGACATTTATAGAAGGTTGAGGAGTTAAGGTAGCCCTGAGGCAAGCTTTCAATAAACGTATTATAAATCCCACGTGAGTGTGAATCATTCCATTTCCATCTTCTAAATGAAATGAGAGGGAATGCACTCACCAAATCCACAGCTGCTTGCTATGTGCCTGAGGCATTATTAATCTCCCCAAGCAGTGATATCCAGCCAGTATGGCAGCTGCAATCAGGACTCCTACTTGGTCGAGTCTGGAGTAATTCCATTCATTCTTTAGCCATATCAGGCTTCTTCAGGGACAGATTGCTGAGTTATATGGAGATTACAGGCAACCCCAATACCACCCCGCATCCTTCAGCTCTCTAATGGCAGTGCTACCCCTACAATACCTGCAGTACCCTCCACAAGACCCACCCTGGGGCACAATATTGCTTCTGGTTTGTCTTGGATGAGGGATGTTTCCCTTTGGTCTTTAGCACAATGAGAGCCCTTACTCTCCAGACTAGGGACACAGTGTGGGGTGACTCCTGTTGAGTGCATCAAGGCCAATCATGCACTTGGAGAATGGGGAGATAACCAGGACAGGGTTTATGGACCCAGCGATTCCACTGTGGGTCATAATGTGTCCAGGTTTATTCTTCAGCCTCTGTATGCCCCACTGTGATGGCGACATAATGGTGCTGTGGGAATCTGGGCAGCAATGTCAGCTCACACCCAGTGTTAATACTTATATCATCTCCTGATTAAATGGCTCCTTTGCAGAAGGGCTGATGGAATTGTCCCAGCATGTAACTGTCATGGTGTCGCAAGGTTCTTTCTTTTAGGGATATGGATACCTCGTCAGTCACTGGATTCTGAATCTGAAGCTTGCTCCTCAATTCTTGCATGCTTATCATAGATATATGAAGCAGCGCCCTTGCTGGCTGCCCATCTGTTCTGACCCTGGGACACCATCCTTTATTAATCTTCCCCACAACTCCTTGAAGGTCAAGCCCCTTTGGCTGATACTCTGGGTTATCACAGTAAATGTGCTCTCTATCTTTTGCAGGTCACTGCAAAGGAGGGTTCCTAAAGCATTCACTCCTGACCCTGAGGGAGGTGGGTGCACTCACTCCAGGTCTCACATTCACCACAAATAAGCAAAAAAAGTCCTGACATTCAAAACTGTCCTGGGTCACATGCAGCCCGCGAGCTGCAGGTTGGACAAGCTTGTATCTAGAACATATGCACCACAAGACCAGAAATTTTTCTGTTTTAACTTTAATAATGCCTTCTAAATGCAAAAACAGTCATATCCCTAGGAGACAACAAATGTCAGCTGAGGAATGATCACTGTAGAGAACCCCTCTATTCTAGAGGCAATATCTTTGTTAATGTAGCCTTAGACAAATGCTTTTCTTTTCGTGGCAACTACAGAGCAACATCATCTCACACTGACATCAGTGCCAGCAGAGCTTTTCTCACCAGGGCTGCTGGTGTGTCCTCCCTCCCTCCCTCCTCCCACACCAACCCTCCTGCACACTGCAGCATACTAACATATTTTTCTCTTCAGGAAAGATAACCCTAGACTTATGGGTCCAATTGTCCAACCACATGTGAATCTAAATTAGACTCTGCTTTATAAATCTATGGATTTCTATTGGAGCCAGCACTAGGATTACTACAACTCAGGGCAGGAAGAAGAGTGGAAGTGCAGAAGAGGAGTTCCAACAGAAACTTACCTATGATGAGAAACTATGAGACCCCTCCTCTCTGTAAATTTCAGAATCTGGTTCCTTTAAAAAGATTGGAGAAAAGACGGAAAATACAATCCAGGAAGGAGCCCTGGGAGGAGGGCAAGAGCTTGAAAGTTCTGAAAATTTGTCTTTTGATACCACAAGGACCCTTGTATGCGGGGACCACCCTAGGTGACATCCAAGTCCCTGTGATCACAGGTCATGGTGGGACAAGGTTCTACTGAAGGGCCAAGGACAATGGAGCAGCAAAGATGACTCAGCTGAGCAGTGACCACATAAAGCGCATGGTGGCCTGAGCAGCCACTGGGCACAGCCCCATCTACTCTCCTCCCCTGGAACAAATCAGCACAAGAAACACGTCGACTCTGGAAGGTTCTCATGTCTCCCATTAATTTTGTCTCTCAAATTTTAGGAATCTTCTCCTTTAATTAACTCATCAACCTCTCACGGCAAGAATTTGAAAATGTAAATTTATATTCAGATTCTAATTTTAATAGGGAAGTGAGAAGTTACAGCTCAGTGCATATAAAGTTGAGACAGAGATAGAGACATCCCAGTCCCACCTCTCTGGAGGAGGAAAGATAAATGGGGAGGGAGCACAGGTCAGCGTGGGGAAGAGGGTCATGGTGGACACGGGGATGGGGTGTTCTCCCCACCTCCTCACATTATGCCTACAGGAATACAGACACATTCAGGTGCATTTGCAGAAAGAAAGTCAGGATTCTTGAAGTCACAAAGGGAAGGCGTGAACAAATCTTGCTTCTCAGTCCCACACAAGGCAGTTGTCTCACACTATAAAAAAAATATTAATGGAGAAATTTCTATCTGTCATAGTAAGGGGTAACACTTTAAACAGCCCATCGCATGCTCAATACATCCAACTCGAAGAAACCCCATAGCACAGCTGCATCCACTGTTCCCCTGAACACCCCACATACATCAGGCCCCCCAGGGTCTCATTTTTACAAGCCATGAGAGACACATCAGAACACTGGGCACAGTTGCTGCCTGGGGTAGAACAAAAACGGACCTGGTCAGAGCCCAGAGGAGATTTGGCTGGAGGAGGAATTTGGGGTTGGGTAAGCTCTCCCATTGGATCCCGACCACAGTATCCCAAGGATCTCAGGGATCAGCCCACTTCATACTTACGTGCAGCTTGAGAGTAGATCACTCTGTTTCTATCTGTGGGAAGAAAATGTCCTGTGAGAGGCCAGAAGGGAGTCAGGGCCATAAGGCCCTATAGCATACCCCCTAGTCTTTGATCCCAGAGAATTTTCCAGAAAAGTGTAACTGCAGATCCAGGACAGGATCAGGAAACATGGGGAAAGCAGGTGTGGGGCCTGGACCAACTGCCCTCCTGAGGTCTGTCCTCAGCAGGGACCTTCCCCTGCGACTTGTGACTGCTGGGATCAGGTGCCCATCATCACAATCATCAAGGTGATAAATCTGTCCTTCCTTGTCACAGGTGCTTTACAAAACAGTAAGTGCTGGCACACAAGGCCCAGGCTGGGTTGGCCCCTGAGTGTGCTTCCCAGTAACCAGGAAGGGCACACTTCTACCTGGGGCTAGGAACCCCCAGTGAGACAAGAAAACTCAGACCCCACTCCTCACCCCTTCCGCACTTGAGCTCTTCTTCCTCCACATCACAGCAGGGACCCCAGCTCCAGTGACTACAGCTCCAAGGAGAACCAGGCCAGCAATGATGCCCACGATGGGGATGGTGGGCTGAGAAGACTGCTTTGGGAAAAAAGGGGAAGGTGAGGACCCCTGATGCCCAGCCCCCAGCCCCGACCCTGCTCCTGCTGAAGGTCTCCAGAGAGGCTTCTGCTTTCCCTAAGAGACATGACCGCCCCCCTCTCCCCTTCCAGGCTCATCTCCCGCCTTACTACATCTCAGGGTGAGGGGCTCGAGCAATGCTTCATGCTGTACATGGCACATATATCTCTGTTCCTCTCCAGAAGGCACCACCACAGCTGCCCACTTCTGGAAGGTTCCATTCCCTGCGGGCCTGGTCTCTACAAGCTCCATGTCCTGAGTCTGGTCCTCCCCATCCCGCTGCCAGGTCAGTGTGATCTTCACAGGGTAGAAGCCCAGGGCCAGCACCTCAGGGTGGCCTTATAGTCAGAGACAGGATGATGGGTCACATGTGTCTTGCGGGGCGGGTCTGACGTGAAGACTCAGAAAATTCAGGCATTTTGCATTTGTCATGGGACACTCCAGCAGCACGCATGTGGCCCTTCTGAGAATGGACAGGACACCTGGGGTGGCGAAGGGAGCACAGAACCCAGACACCAGCCTGGACACGGGTACCTGGGATAATCTCCTATTCCGTGGAAAATTCTAGTCCCTGAGGAGGGAACAGCGACTTCTGGACCTGACTTGAGGGGAGGCTGAGGGACTCAGAGGAGCTCGACTCAGACCCCCACACACATTGAATGTGAAGCAGAGAACAGGCCTGAGAGGTAAAGTTACGGGGCCCAAGGCTGCTGCCGATGTCAAAGGGAATCACTCATCAGTATTCCAGGGATTGTCTTCCCTTCATTCCCTCAGAGATTTCATCCCTTAATTGTATCAGAGAGCAGAGTAGACCCTCAAAGTCATTCTCTGGTACAGGATCTGTAAAGAAATCCAGGAGGATTCCTCTCCCTCAGGACCAGAGGGAGTTCGACATTCTAGTGTTGGTCTCATTTTCCTTCCCTCCTTGTGGGAGGCCAGCCCGGGAGATCTACAGGCGATCAGGGAGGCGTCCCGTGCCCCCTGGTACCCGCACGCTGCAGCGTCTCCTTCCTGTTTTCCTGGTGTCTGCGGAGCCACCCCACGCACCGGCCCTCCAGGTAGGCCCTGACCTGCTTTGCAAATTCCCCTGCCTCCCACTTGCGCTTGGTGATCTGAGCAGCCGTGTCTGCTGTGGTCCAGGAGCGCAGGTCCCCGTTCAGTGCGATGTAATCCTTGCCATCTTTGGTGTGCTGTTCATAACCGCGGAGGAGGAGCCCCTCCAGCCCCAAGTCTCAGCCATCCTTTATCTGGAAGGTGTGAGACCCTGGCCCCGCCTCCGCGGTCAGCCCCGCCCACCGAGCCACGCCCCCGCTCCGACCAACCTGCGGGGATTTTGGCCTAAACTGAAAATGAAACCGGGTAAAGGCGCCTGGGGCTCTACCGGGTCGAGAATCTGAGCGGATCCCACAGCCTCGGGGTGGATCTCGGAGCCGGAGACTCGGGGGGATCCGGGCGGTCCGTGCGGATGGGGAAGGGTCGTGACCTGTGCTTGGAGCCGGGGTCACTCACCGGCCTCGCTCTGGTTGTAGTAGCCGAGCAGGGTCCGCAGGTTCACTCTGTCAGTCTGTGCGTGGGCCTTGGTGTTCCGTGTCTCCTCTTCCCAATACTCCGGCCGCTCCTGCTCCACCCACGGCGCCCGCGGCTCCATCCTCGGACTCGCCGCGTCGCTGTCGAACCGCAGGAACTGCGTGTCGTCCACGTAGCCCACGGCGATGAAGCGGTGCCCCCCGCGGCCGGGCCGGGACAAGGCGGTGCTGAAATACCTCATGGAGTGGGAACCTGGGGGCGAGGAGAGGTTGAGACCCTCTCGACCCTCCTCCTGGCGCGGCTCCCCGGGTCCTGCGCCCCAGTTGCGCGGTCCCCTCGCTCCTCTTCGCAGAGGCCATTTCCCTCTGGATCCCGCACTCACCCTCCCAGGTCTCGGTCAGGGCCAGGGTCCCCGAGAGCAGTAGGAGGAGGGTTCGGGACGCCATGACCCACTCCTTGGGGTCTGGGGAGAATCTGGGTCCCAATGCTTTCGCGGGGACTTCAGAACAGGGACCCCCGACGCTGATTGGCTTCTCTAGAAACCCGACACCAAATGAGAGTGAGAAATGAGTCCAAAGCGTGAGTATCCAGGAAGAAGGACCCTACATAGGTTGGGAGAGGGAGAAGAGAAACTCTGCGGAGACGGGGAATCTCCAACGCTGGGCCTCCCCAATCAATACTCAGCCTTTGGGGCCGGAGACCCTGAGAGCCACGCCTGGGGCCATGGACTTCGCCCTGACCCTGCTCCTCCTGTGCCAAGCCTCTGTCTCAATGTCTCCCTCAGTCTTGGCCCAAGAACCGTCTGAGAAACCAGGGAGAAACCCTCGTCATGGGCCCCATCCTTCTTCACTTTTCATCCCGGAATCCCCATCCCAGAACTGGGCTCCCTGCCTCCCACTCCTTACCTGTTCCCCTGGACTCTTCTAGAAGAAAACTCACCCCAGGGAGCTTGGGGCCAGACAGTGAGCTCCTCCTGGGAATAGAGGTGTAGAGACAAGTTTTTTTTTTTTTTTTTTCCTTTAAACCCGGAAAAGTTGTGCCTGAGTGCCTGAGATAGAATAGAGACCAGTTTGCTCTTTGTTTATTAACTACAGTGAGTAGCAGAATCTTGGTAACCCCTGAATGATCAGGAATCTAATCGGTAAAAAATGTGACTTTGGCCCCTTGATATATAAATATGTCTAAAAGCATTACAACAGGATTCACAAAGCTCCTAAGTTTCACTTTCCCAGACAATGTATCTGTGATTCTTGCTTGTTGTATTTTACATTTACCTTCATTCCATAGCCCTGAGTTACTGGATGAGTCTAAGACATTGCCTCAATACAAAGAAGCACACTGTGTTACTGTATGTTACAACCAGGAGCCGGTACAGACTAATCACCTCACAGTTCAAGTGTTCAATGCCGTCACCGTGCCGCTCACCAATGCTTATGCACTGCCTGTTTTTAGGAGGTATTCACGTCTAAGTGGTGTGTATATCTTATAGGAACACTTAGTATTTTTAAAACCTGATTAATTAAAAAAAAAATTTGTTTCTAGGCAGTCCCAAATAAGGTATTAAAAGTCAACTGCAAAGAAGGAACATTAAGTATTTTTTAAACCTTATTAACATAAAAAACATTAGTTTTAGGCAGTCCTACATTAGGTATTAAAGGCCAACTACGAAGAACACCCAGCAAGGCTCTGTCGATGGATGTATTAAAAATCTATAAAACAGTGTGTTTAAACGTAAGAATTCCACTGCTTTCCAATTCCTTCCCTCTGCTCCTTTTCCTAACCTCCTGCTTCTCCAGCCCTTCGCTCTGTCCCTTTCATCCCTCATACCCTCCTTTCCCCTTAGTCCCCACCACCCTGTCACTCCTAAACTGTGGCTCTAGCACTGTCCCATTACCTGCTACGTGACTGTTCTCTCCACGGTGGTCCTGCTACTGTGAGTCACAGTGTGTCACTTCCTCACATAAAACACTCTAGTGGCTCCACCTCGGTCTTGTGAAGCTTCTAGAATGTCAGGTACATGAGCATATGAGGGCATACCTGGTTCATCTTAGGCACTGAATTAATTTTTATTGACTGAATGAATGAAATATGAGTGTATTAATTGCATCACAGAAAGTTATAAAATGTAAAACACTGACAAATTAAGATTTTATTTTATGTAACTAGTATGCATATCAATTCAATTCATTCTATGAGTCTGTTGAGCCTGTGTATGAATTTTATAAGATTGCATAAAAAATTATCACAAACATTGACTTGAAACAACACCCAATTATTGTTGATTTGTTTATTTTTAGAGACAGAGTCTCCCTCTGTCATCCAGGGTGAAGTAGACTCACATGATCATGGCTCACTGCAGCCTCAAACTCCTGGGCTCAAGGGATCTTCCTGCCTCAGTCTTCAGAATAGCTAGGACTGCGGGCAAGTGACACCACGCCCAACTAATTAAAAAGAAATTGTAGGGATGAGTGTCTCACTATTTTATCTCAGCTAGTCTCAAACTCCTGGCTGCAACAGATCCTCCTGTGTCAGCTCCTCAAATGTTAGGGTTACAGGAGTGTGCTACCATGCCTGGCCAAACAACACTCATTTATCTGTTTATAGTTCCTCAGTCAGAAATCTGGGCATGATGTGGATAGAATCTCTGTTCTGGGCTTCCCAAAGCTGTGTTTTCATTTTGAATCCTCCTTCAGGCTCATACAGAGGTGGCAGAACGCAGTTTCTAGCAGTTGTAAGACTGAGGTCCCTGTTCTTCGCTGACTGTCACTGTAGAGAACAGGGAGGGCTGTGCTCAATTCCTGGTGCCCACAAGCATTTTTTCTTATGCAGCCCCTTCATTTTCAAAGGCCACAGTGGAGGAAACCCCACATATTGGATCCCTCTCACACTGTGAATCTCTATGCTCAGGAAGAACCTAGTCCTTTAACGGGCTCAGCTGATTAGGACAGTCCAAGCAGGATAAACCCAGCCTAAAGTCAACTAATTGAGGCCCTTAATTATATCTGCTAAATCCCTTCACAGCAGCACCTGCACTAGAGTTGTTTGAATAACTGGAGGAAGGTGAATGGCCAGGAGCTGGTTGTTGAGGCCATAATAGAATCAGTCTAGCAAGGGTTGGATCTTCCTTTTGTGTTTCATTGTGACACAGTTGGAAATGGAAGTTCAAGTAAAGTGATCATTGTGAATGGTAATAAAAATACATCCTCTTCAGTCATGGAAATTCTCCTTACCTTTTAAAACTAAATTACATGTTTGTATCTTATAATTTTTATAATTTTTATTTATTTTTTATTTTATTATTATTATTATTATTATACTTTAAGTTCTAGGGTACATGTGCATAACGTGCAGGTTTGTTACATATGTATACTTGTGCCATGTTGGTGAGAGGGATTGCATTGGGAGTTATACCTGATGTAAATGACGAGTTGATGGGTGCTGATGAGTGATGGGTGCAG